ATCTTTGGATGTATCAGTATCAGTCATGTAGTGACCACGAAGTGTCAAGAATTATGATAGATAGTTGGTATAACAGTAAGACACATGAGCAGGATTATACTCGAAAGATATCAGTTGATAGACCTTTCTGTCCGTTATATTAATCGATGGGAAGAAATCGATGTGATTTCCTCGAAGATATCTTTCGCTCGTATGCCTCATTGCCGCAATAAAATTTTATCTGTCATAATGCAAACGAACCGTTGTAAAAGAAATTCCTCGCATCGTCCTCTTGCCCTCCATTTATCCGCGAAATACAAATTATCGTCAATCTCTGAATATGCAGAATGCCTTAGGGCTATCACATATTTTAGTAACGACTTCGACGAATCGGAAATTAATTTTTTTCTACTTATCGTCACTATTAAATTTATAATCGAATTACATTCAAATTAGTCAAATTGTAATTTAGATTATTTTTTTAATCATTTCTGTAGGTCGCCACTGCTTCTATTAAATATATCGTTAATTTAATTGATATAATGGAGTTAAACAACTTAACTCAAGAAAATGTATATTTTTTTAACTCTAATTTATTATTTACTAAATGCATACGTTAATATAACCGTTATTTATTTGAAAGTTAACCACAGAAACGAATTGATTTATACTTTGACAAACGTGAAAGTTAAAAATAACAAAACGCTTTTTAACTCAAGGGATTTTAATTGCAATTACCTTGTAATATCTAATACAAAAATTCCATTTTTTCGATTAATTTTAAATTAACTCTCGAAATTTGTTTTATTTTCAGACATTTTGAAAAGATATATAATAGGCTGCAACAAATTATAGTCCTTTACTGCAGCTGCGACATAATTACACGAGTTTATTACATCGAAGATAAAAACATTAGCCGAGATCATTCTCGAAATCATCGGCGCCGTCGAAATTACGCAATGCTTAAGATGCGACAGCGCGATATCTATCGAGACACAAACCTTAATTTCCAAGATATATCGCCGTCTAAACACAGACGCGTTCCCCACCGCGCTAACCGCGCCTGATACACCCCGGCAATTACTCATCCCGCGGTTTTAATGAAATCCGCTGTGATTTAACGTTAGATAGAAAAGTAGTATGCGCCGCACGAACAGGCATACGTACGAACTGAAAGGTGGACGGGAGGGAGGACGTGACGTACGGGGACGAAATCAAAGCACAAGCGAAAACCGGATGCGCAGGTGAAGTCTCAGTAATAGGGGTACTCGCAATTTACATATGTATCCGCCAGCCTAGCATATACGCGACGCAGTCCTTAGAGTGGCTCCCCCCCCCCGCTCCCCCCGTATGAGACGAACGATGTACGTTCTATCTATCCCTCATTCTTTTTCTCTTCTTTCCCCCATCTCTCTCTTTTCCGCCTTTACAAGTCTCCGTTCTTCCTTTTTTTAACCTTTTACTCGTGTTACCTACCTAAGAAGTACACCGGTCACGTACAAGCAGCACGCAACGCGACACGATCCATGCTCGTATTATTCCGAAATTCATCAAGCGCGAGCTTCTTTCGATTCGGTGCCGCTTTTAGCTCTAATCGGTATTCGTCGGTCCAGTGGACTTATGTCCATTTCCATCCAATGTAGATTAACTTTAATCTCGGTTCGACTTACTCCTCGTTTTTTTTTCCAGTTTCTAGTGTTCTAAAGATTAGAAAAAATGATGGAAATGGGCATCAGACATTTTCTTCAACTACATTGTGAAAAATGATTTATAACAAAATGTCTTTCACATAATATAATTTTAAGTTACATAGTTTTGTTTCTCGAATTTGGAGACTTTCGAATTGAAAAAAAATTATTCAACTACTAATTTTAAGCGAATTCATTTCGTTTCGACTTGTAAAATCTTCATCAGTGATAATAAAGAAAACATATTAATTACTGATGAAGACTTTGTAAGTCGAAACGTTTGAAATTTATAGCGTTATACCAATAATGTAGTAAAAGACGAATTTTGTATTACCTAACTACATTTGCTTGTTTTTCAAAAAGCCTTGATATTTTGAAGATTCATTAATTTTTGAAGTACATCAAAAAAATTTCGGAATGAATATCGATTAACGTCATGCGTGTGTTTTCATTTCTTCTCGAAAGCAACGGGCAACATTATAGCGGAAGTTTCTTCTTGCGAATCCTCAAAGTTCCATCAAGATGAAATTGTGTATTCTACAAGTATTATTATGTCGGTTTCGCTCGAAATGCTTTAATGAGAGAACGATATTACGTCGAACATTTTATTCGATTATTTGCGGCATTACGTATACACGACGGTTATCAATTATGTCATATATTATAATTTATTATTATTACAAGCTTCATTTAGCAGGCAGTTTAGAGAGAAATCCCTCGAGTAAGGATATGATAGAAGGAAAGTTGCAGACAGAAAGATTTATTTCAAATTTCAGAAATAAATAATCGTGATAAATACACGTGGACGTAACATTACTACAAGGTATAAAATTATGACAAGGGGTCGCTGTATAGTTCTAGTGATAATTGATTTAAATTTTTTTATTTACAATTAAAAATTATACTTAGCGAAATTATAATAGTTTCAATCTCTAGAGAGAGGAAAAATTTATTGGAATTTCGGTGATTATAATTAATTCACCTATAAGTAAACGTAAGAATTTATTGCTAAGTCGAATCATCAAAATTTAATCAAGTCGCAAAGAAAAATATTCGAGAAATACCCGAAGAATAATTTCACGCCGCACGTGATCAATGAATACTATTAATACAATGGAGAGAAAATTCATAGTGAAACGTACACGGGATGATAGTAAACAAGATGAAGATTGCACGGACAAGAAGAATAGCAACGCGCTCGCGGCGCGGTATTTCATCGCCGTGAAATCTATGTTTGCATTTCGCCTGGAATGAAGTTTTCGCCCAGATGATCGCGCATAAATTCATTGTCTAGACGGTGCAGGTATGCCAGACGCAGAATTGCGGCTACGGAATCGACTACCACATTCACGCGCCTGAGATTTTTCCACGCAAAAACCCACGTATATATGCACGTACGTCGGTGGTACATTGAATGATCAGATCTTCGGTCCGTTCGTGCCTGTGCAAACAGCCGCCGAGGAAAATATTTGCACAGGATAACTCGGGTCCTCATTATCGGGGTGGCTGGTCTTTCTCACTCAGGGACGACGGTTGTCCAGGTGTGCGAAAAGGAACGTAGAAGGAATACGTAGGTAAAACGAGGACGAAAAAGAGGGAGAAAGAGAAAGAGAGAGAGAAAGG